ACCTTTTTGAAATTAAACAATTTAAAAAAAAAATCTTATAAAACAAGTGATAAAATAATTATTTTATATTATAAGAATATTGTTACTGTAACTCCATAAAAATTATTTAGAAAAAAATTTTAACTAAAATTCTTCTTTAAATTAATTATTTTTAATAATTTTTGAAAAATTTTCAAATCCTTCTGTTTACAATTCAATTTCAAAAAAATTTCATTAAACTTTTTTAAAAGAATTAAATCTACACAATTTTTAGTTAAAAGTATAAAAAATTCAAAGTTTTAAAGACTATAATTTGAAACCTTTTCGAAATTCAATTATTTCTAAAAATTAGTAAAAATGTTTACTAATTGGAAGTAGTGACTGACTTTTTGCATTTGAATTGGTAAATTTTACTATTAACTGAGTAGAAACGACTATTTATTAGTAAAATCTACTAATTCAAAAGCAAAAAGTCCGTCACTAATTCAAATTAGAAGTTTAAAAAAAAATTAAACTCTCATACAGAATTTTATTAACAAATTTTTAAAACAATCAACATTCTTTTGACGAATTTTTATAAAAGTATTAAGGATAATTTCATTTTTCGAGAAATTAGATTAAAATTGTATTAAAAATAATTTAATCTCTGTAAAAAATTTAATTGTATTGATAAAATTTTTTGAAAATAATAATTCATAAAATTCTTAAGAATAATTACATTTTTCGATTAATTAATTGAAAATAGTATTTAAAAATAATTATTTATTCAAATAATTGAAAACCTATAAAAAAATTTATTATTTACGCGCAAAATAATTGAATCCCTGTAAACAGTTTTATTATTTATAGAAGTAATTAAAGGTATTGCAAAAAAATGTATAAAAAATTTGTAAATAATAGAACTCCTGTGAAATTTTTTCTTATTTAATTCATTCAAAATTAAAATTTTCCAAAATTTCAAATTAAAACTTGTTCAAGTTCATCTATTTATGAAACTTGTAAACGCAACTCTTTTAAAATTGAATTAATTTTGAAATATTTAAGTAAAATTAAATTTCAAGAATAAGAACAATAACTTTTAGAAAACAATAAATAATTTTCCAGGATTCCGATCAAAATTCCCTGGCTTTTCCAGGTTTTTTCAAGGTTTATAAAATTCCCTGACATTTCCAGGTTTTTCAGGTTTCCAGGTTGCGTGGCAACCCTGTAAAATTAATTTAATTAAAATTAAAAATATTAAAAATAAAAAAAAAACTCTACTTTGACTTCAAAAACTGGAGGAAATTTAATCAAAAATTTCCTCCAGTTTTTTGAGTCAAAGTAGAATCTAATTCGAACTAATTGTATCGCAATTATACCCTACATGTAGGTAGGTATTAAAAAATCAATTAATTAATTATAATTAAAATTATTTGAAAAGAAATATTATTAATATTCGTCTCAAGAATTTAATTATATTTAAAAGTAATAAAATTCTTCGCAGAAATTCAATTACTTTATAAAATATATCAATTCGTATTTGTTCGTATAAAATTTGTAGTTTTTAGCTCCTTTAAATAGAAATTCTTTATTTTTTAATTCGATGCTTTATAAATTCTTGCTAGTCCCATGGTTTGTAGAATATTTAAAATGGTTTTTTTCACTACCTGTAAAATCATAAAATTGGCACTGACCCTGTTTGTTATGTCACCCTTCAAATAATCTAAATCATGTACAATAAATAATAGATAAGTAGGAGAGACTGGAACAAAGCGGTCATATTTTGGGTTTTTGCATTTTAGTGATCAACAGAGTGAGAAAATTTTATTCGGTCTTGCGTTGTTTGAAAGATTGTCAGTTGACAAAAGCGAAGTCTATTGTATAAACTAGTCACGGTCTCGTCTCGAATTTCAGTAACGAGACCGAGACGAGACTAACACGAGTCTCGGAGTCTCGTCGAGAGTCTCGACTAACTGACTTTTCATAAATAATTTCGTTAAATTTTTTTTTTTGAATAAAGTATTTCTAATTTTAATCTTAATAGTTATTTATAGTTAAATAATCTAATAAAAATAGAGAACGTACAGCACATTTTGTAATTTCCAATCAATTATAAAATTAAATAAAAAAATTCTAATAATTAAGTATGTAGCTTTTAAAAATATTTTTATGTACTTTTTCGAAAACAAATGAATTTCTTAAAAGTGTTTTTTTATTATTTAAAATTTATGAATTTTAATGAAATATTTTGAACACAATTTTTGTCTGCAAAATGTTAAAAATCATTCTAAAATGTTATTATTTTTTGTATGTACCTATTTGAATTTTTGGAAATATGTAATTAAAAGTACTAAAAATAGTAAATTTTAAAAAATTAGAAGCTAATTTTCATTTTTAAATTTACGTTTAAATATTTCAATTATTTTGAAAATTTGCAATTAAAATTCTTCAAAAGTTGATTTTCAAAAATTTTAACAAAATAGTTTAAAAAATTAATTATTTTCAATTAAATTTTACAAAATTTCAATTATTCAAAATATTTTTAATTTTGTTTATTTCGAAAATTTAAATAGAAAAATGATTCAAAAATAATTATTGAAAGATTTGTTTATACAGGGTTGCTGCAAATATTTAATTTTATTTTTCCCTGATTTTCAGACAAAATTTTCACTTCTTCCCTGACCATAAAGAATATTCTGATTCACTCTAAAAATTATTAGATACTAAAAAAAATATTCTATTATATTTACTTACGAATTTCTTAAATTGTAAAATTATTCGCAAACATCAATAACTAAATTTTTAAATAAGTATTTAATTATTATTTTTCCATAGGAATTAAAATTCTTCAAAACATTCAAATTCAAACATTTTTAAAATTAAACAACTTATAAGAATATTATTATAAAACATGAAGATATCAATTACTCCGAGTCGAAGACTCGGATTAATTGATATCTTCATGTTTTATAAAAATTTTAATTTACATAAAATTTTTAAAAAAAAAATTAAATTATTTACAAAAATTATAATAAAATACATCGGAAAAATTCAATTCTTTTTATAAGTAATGACATTTTCTACATGGTTTCAATTATTTTTAATACAATTTTAAAAAAATTTCTCGAAAAATAAAATTATCTTCAAAATTTTTTTGGAAGAATTAAATTAGGTACATTTCACTAATAATGAAATTTTTCGCTGAAATTCATAAATTTTCAAAATTTACATTTTTAATACAAATTTTCAAAAGAATATAATTATTTAAATAAAATGTAATAAAATTCGTTGCATAAATTCAATTATTTTTAAAAGTAATAAAATTTTCCACATGAATTCAATTATTTAAAAAAAATTGATAAAATTCGTTGTAAGAATACAATTATTTTCATAAATTATAAAATTTTTCTGAGGATTTCAATTATTTATAATACAATTTAAAGTAAATTCCTAGAAAAATGGAATTATTCTCTTAATTTTTTTGTAAGAATTTAATTACATTTCACGAATATAATGAAATTCTTCGTTGAAAATCAAATATTTTCAAAATCTACTATTTTAATAAAAGTTCTCAAAAGAATCCAATTACTTAACAAAATTTAATAAAATTCGTTGTAGGAATTCAATTATTTTCATAAATAAGACGATTCTTTAAACTATTTCAATTATTTAAAAAAAATTTGAAAAAATTCGTTGCAACAATTCAATCACTTTCATAAATTAATAAAATTCTTCACAGGATTTCAATTATTTTTAATACAATTTTAAGTAAATTCTTCGAAAAATGTCACTATTTTCAAAAATTTTGTTAAAATTCTTCGAAAGAATTCAATTATGTATTTTATCAATTATGTATTTTTAAAAATTCATGCCGTAATGTTTTTAATATTCAATTATTATCTAAAATTTTAACTAATATTCATTTTCAAATCAATTTTTATTGGAAAATTCTACAAGAATTCAATTATTTAAATACAAAAATAAATAATTTATTGAATAAATGAATGTTTTTCAAAACTAAATTATCATAAAGAATTTTATCAACAAATTTGAATTTTTTTCGAGAAATTTTAATACAATTTTTAGGAATAATTAAATTTTTCGAGGAATTCAATTAAAATTGTATTAAAAATAATTAAAATTCTATTATGAATTTTATTATTCATGAAAATAATTAAATTTTTGTAAAAAATGTTATTATTTGCTTAAAATTTTATCAAAATTTTTTTTTTAATAATTGAATTCTTTTGAAAAATTTTAATAAAACTGTAGATATTGAAAATCATTGAATTGAGAAAATTTTTTTTGAAAATAATTGAAATTTTGCAAAGAATTTTATTAAAATTTTTGAAAATAATTGAAATTTGGAGAAGAATTTTATTATTTTTAAAGATAATTGAATTTTGATTAGAATTTTTTTTAATTTTCGAACATAATTGAATTTCTGCGAAGAATTTTATTACTTTTGAAAATAATTGAATTTCTGCAATCATTTGTAACTTCTCCAAAATTCAATTTTTTCCAGTTACTTAAATAAAAATCCCTGACTTTTCCCTGACTTCCCTGTCCTGTGGCAACCCTGTTATAGTTATTTTTCGCACTGCAAAAATCGGAATGAGTTACATTTAATACTAAAAAATATGATAGTTTGTTGCAATATTTGGAAGAAAATTCGACAAAGTCTCAATTTTTGAAAATAAGTCGAAAAAATCTCAATTTTCGGAAATTTTCTTGACACAAAGTTTTTTTCCTGACATTTCCCTGACTTTACTGACATGTGGCCACCCCTTTATTTAAATTAAAATTTTAAAAACCGTAATAATTTTAATTTAAATAAATATTATATAGTTTAAAAATGAATCGATATTTTCTTTTTATTGACACGATACTAAAGGAGACACCGAGACCGAGACTCCAGATTTTCATATTTGACGAGACCGAGACGAGACTTTAATAAGTCACGTCTCGTTTTGTGAGGTGCCCTAAAAATGACCGGTTTGCCCCACTCTCTCCTAATACTTGAATTATTTTGATGAGCTCACCTCATTATTATTAATTTTCGAATCGTCGCAGTCACCACCCGCTGAAACATCTTGCTTTTCAGGATCTATCTCCTGCAAGAAAGAAATATGAAAATAAAATAAACGATGTTCACATATTCCCATGCATTATATGTAAATATAATAAAAAGTTAAACCTCTCCCTTGAAAAATTAAAAGTAGGGACCTATCGTTAAAAATTGATTTTATGCATTTTAATTTTTTCTTACAGTAACGAATGTTCGTTTATTCAAAATTGAAAAAGGTCGAAATATTTCCAAGCGAATTTTAAAATTAACAAAATATTTCCAAAATTCCTCATATCCGATCCAATAGGGCACATTTTTTCTTAAAGTTTGCTAGGTTTTCTTAAAACACGTTATCCAGTAGTTCTTCGGGTCGCTGATAATGCGTCTGTTATAATATTATTGAAATTCAAAATGTCGAGTTAATTTGTGAATAACGACATAATCAGTAAAGTATATTCTTTTTAGCAAATTAAAGGCAATGTTGACTCAAAAGTAGCTCTTACACGCTGATTTAAATTGGTGGTATATTTATCGTTATTTCAGACCTAAAGAAATCAAGTTACGATTCGAACACGTTATTATTGGCTAAATGTTTACTCTGACGTGAAAGTAAACAGTAATTCGTTACACCCACGAGAGACTGGTGGGTGTACCTAATATAAAGTAAAAAAACATCAGAGCCAGAAAGCGGGTGAGAATATTATGGACCTCGATGCACGTCAATATTACCAGAGATTATAAAATACCATAAGTGATCATCATGAATTTTTGAGAAGGTGATAGAGCCGAAAATGCAAAAAAATTTCATACTTTTTTTATCGCACTGAACTTCATTCCCGTAAAAAATCATAATAATAAATTAAAATTTTAATATCCAAACAAAAACCAAATGAATTTTATAAATGTGTACAAAATTAACTCTTACGTCCATATCCACGTGCACCACACCGGTTGATCTTCTTTTTGGCCTTCGCCTCCTTTGTATAACTGCTTGGGTTGCTTGTGCGTTTCTACTGTCATTCTCCTTGTCTTGTTCTATAAAAAATAGACATCTTTTTATTAATATTTAAATATTTTTTAAACTAATTGTTTAATAAAAATAAAATATAATTATATGTGACGTTTCACGTCAATTAAATGCTCTTTCAGTTGCAAAGTGGCAGAATTGAAAATTCAAATTGTCGCTCTTATCCTCATAATTTGGATGTCAGAACAATTATTTTTTTCTTATTGTGAATATTTTATTTTCAAAATTAAGAAAGAAATGAACGAAAACACGAACAATATAACGCCGAAAAAAGTCAAGCATAGACTTGTCAAATTTGGTCCAGTACTACAGGCCAAATACAATTTTATAAAAGCAGACCCATTTGACCCTTACAAGTGCAGGGTTGTCACGCTTTTGCTCATTTCAAATTCCCTGACTTTTCCAGGTTTTCCAGGTTGAAAAGCGAAATTTTCCCAGGTTTTTAAAACTACATTTATATTTTACCAAATTTTAATTTTCATTTTAATTTTTAATTTTATTTTTAATTTCCTGATTTCCAGACAAAACGACTTTTTTCCTCTTCTATTACATTTATTTACGAATTTCTTTAATTGTAAAATTACTCGAAAACATCAATAACTTCGTTTTTAAATGAATACTTAATAATTATTATTTTTTTACAGAAATTAAGATTTTCAAAAATTTTAAATTCAATAACATGTAATCGCTTTCTTCATGTTTTATAAAATCATTAAAACTTGATACTATCATTATTTTATATTATAAAAATATTGTTACTGTAATTTTTTCAAAATTATTTTCATTTCAATTCAATTCTTCATTTCTAGAATTTTTAACTAAAATTCTTCTTGAACTCAATTTTTTTTTTATAATTTTTGAAAAAGTTCTTTGAGAATTTCCAAATCCTTTTGTTTACAATTTACGTAATTTCGATTATTGACATTCTTCAATTAAATATATATATATATATATATATATATATATATATATTAAAAAATAAAAACTTGAAGAATTAAAGAAAAATTCAATTAAACTTTCTTAAAAAAATTAATTTTAGAGAATTGTTAATCAAATATTCAATTATTACTAAAAATTTACGCTATTAGCTTTCAATATTCAATGATAATGTAAAATTTTAACTGAAATTCATTTTTAAATCAATACCTATTTACTAAAAAAAATCCAAGAGAATTCAATTATTGAAATACAAAAATGAATAATTTATTGAATATAATTGAATATTTTGTAGAATTAAACTCTCAGAAAGAATTTTCTCAACAAATTTATAATTATTTGATTTCTCTATCTTAATAGAAATTTTTAAAAATAAGTTCATTTTTCGGAAATTTAATAAAAATTTAAATTCTAAAAATCATTGAATTTCTCCAAAGAATTTTTTAAGAGTTTTTAAAAATAATTGAAATTTTGCCAAGAATTTTATTAAAATTTTTTAAAATAATTCAATTCCGGAGAAAAATTTATAAAGATTATTGAAATTTTGACGAGAATTTTTGTAAATTATTCAATACAATTAAATTTCTGCGAAGAATTATATTAATTTTTAAAAATAATTGAATTCTTGAGACGAATTTTATTAAAATGTCTTTTTAAATAATTAAATTCTTTCATGAAATTTTATTGAAATAGTAGACATTGAAAATAATTGAATTTTGAAAAAATTTTGAAATTATTTAAATTTCTACGAAGAATTTTATTAAAATTATTTTGAAAAAAAATTGAATTACCTATTACAAAGAATTTCATTAAAATTTTTTTAAATAATTTAATTTTTTCAAGAAATTTAATTAAATCTTTATAGAAAATAATACTTAAATTCTAATAAATAAATTGTAGCAAAGGTTTTTAAATAAATTAAATTTTTTTGATGAATTTTAATAAAATTTTTAAGAATAATTTCATTTTTCGAGGAATTCCATTAAAATTGTATCAAAAATAATTTAAAGTATGTGATGAGTTTTATTATTTATGAAAATAATTGAATTCCTGTAAAAAATGTTATTATTTATGAAAAATAATTAAATGTTTGCGTAAAATTTTATTAGAAATTTTTTTTAAATAATTGAATTCTTTTGGACAATTTTATTAAAGTAGTAGATTTATTAAAAATCATTGAATTGAGGAAAGTTTTTTAAAATAATTGAAATTTCGCCATAAATTTTATTAAAATTGTTGAAAATATTTGAATTTCTGCAATCATTTGTCTAATTTCTTTTAGTGTTTTTAATTAAAATTCTTCCATAAATCCATTATTTTTAATAATCAATTAAAATATATATATATTAAAAAATTTAACTAATTTCAGAAGAATTGGAATAATTAAATTTTCTCAAAAATCTACGTTCTTTAAGACGATTTCTAATTAAATTCATTCAAAATTAAAATTTTCTAAAATTTCAAATTAAAAACTTGTTGAAGTTCATCTATTTATGAAAATTGTAAACGCAACTCTTTTAAAATTTAATTAATTTTGAAATAATTATGTAAGATTAGATTTCAAGAATAAATTTTAGAAAATAACAATTTTCCAGGATTTCGATTAAAATTCCCTGACTTTTCCAGGTTTTCCAGATTTCCAGGTTGCGTTGCAACCCTGAAGTGTAAAATTTTTGTCTGCAAGTAGAAAATATTGATTTGAATCATATTTATTATGCGATCCAAACTTTAGAAGATATTGATATTTTAAACAATAGCAGGGCTCGGATCGTCTTTAAGACTCAAAAAAAGTCGCTTTAGTCGCATAAATTTTCAACAAAAGTCACGAAAAGTAGCATAAAATTTCCGAAAAAGTCGGAAAAAAGTCGAATGAAATCTTAAAAAAAACGACAAAAGGAAAACACGAAATTGACAAAATTGCAAAAAAAATCACATTTCTCGACAACAGATACATTAATATCGAACAATCCGGAATAAAATTTTTAAAAAATTAAATAAAATTCATAGCAAAATTTTAATTAGGTATTTTTAACATTTTTTTAAAAAATTCTCTTTAAAATATCAATTCTTTTTAAAAATAATAAAATTCTTCTCCGAAATTCAATTATTTAAAAAAAATTTTAATAAAATTCTTCACAGAAATTCAATTATATTAAACATTTTTTTTAATTTTTCGTCAAAACTTTAAATATATATCATAAAATTCATCATGGAAATTTAATTATTTTCAAAAGTTCTGATAAAATTCTTTGCAAAATATTTAATTATTTTCAAAAGTAAGAAAATTCTTTGCAGAAATTCAATTATTTTCAAAATTTTTTTTTAAATTCTTCTAAAAATTTCAATTATCTTTATAAATATCAAAATTCTGCAAAATTCAATTACTTTTAAACATTTTTAAAAAAATCTGTTCAAAATTTCAATTATCTTTATAAATAATAAAATTCTTCTCTGAAATTCAATTATTTGCCAAAATTTTAATAAAATTCTTTTAAAAATTTCAATTATCTTTATAAATAATTAAATTTATCCTAGAAGTTAATTATTTTCAATTTTTTTTTTAATTTCTTATCAAAATTTTAATTATTTTCATAAATAATAAAATTCATACTGGAAATTTAATTATTTTCAAAATTTTTTTTTAAAGTCTTCTCAAAATTTCAATTATCTTTATAAATAATAAAATTCTTCTCTGAAATTCAATTATTTGCAAAAATTTTAATAAAATTCTTTTAAAAATTTCAATTATCTTTATAAATAATTAAATTTATCCTAGAAGTTCAATTATTTTCAATTTTTTTTTTAATTTCTTGTCAAAATTTTAATTATTTTCATAAATAATAAAATTCATACTGGAAATTTAATTATTTTCAAAATTTTTTTTTAAAGTCTTCTCAAAATTTCAATTATTTTTATAAATATCAAAATTCTTCTGCAAAATTCATTTACTTACTAATGTTTTATAAATTTATTCCCAATAATTCAATTACTTTCATAAAAAATAATTAAAAATTTTTTTTTTATAAAGTTTTATAATATAAAATAATGATTTTATCACTCGGTCATTTTGAAATATTATAAAACATGAAGACATCGATCACTCCGAGTCGAAGACTCGGAGTAATCGATTTCTTCATGTTTTATAAGTTGTTTAATTTCAAAAAGGTTTGAATTTGAAATCTTTTGAAGAATTTGAAAGAAATGCAACCGGACATTTTTTTACTCAAACTTTTTCCTTTGAATTTAAAAAATTTTTTAAATTTCAGTCGCATTTTACTAAAAAAATCTTGAAAAAGTCGATTAGTCGCATTTTTTCACAAAAAAGTCGAAAAAAGTCACATTTCCTCAGAAAAGTCGAAAAAGTCGCACAATCCGAGCCCTGCAATAGATACTGAAACAAATGGAACAAACCTTTATCTTCTGGAGGTTTCAAGGGTCTTCTGAGAGGCAAAGTGACCGTTGTTTCAGCTGTGCTGGCGGTGATAGTGTCAACTGGAGCTGAACTAGGCCTTGGAGTGTTAGAGCCACCGGAAGGTCTTCGAATGTAGGCCGTTGCATCGCTGGATCTATTATTTGCATCCTCTAACTGGAACTACATGGAAAACAATAAAGTCTTTCTTCGAAAATGTCCTTCGTTCACAGCAATCGATGTTTTTCGTCATCAGCCAAGTAAATAATTAATAACTCATGCCAAGAAGAATTATAAAAAGCTCAACAATTGATTATCAATCGTAGACCAATAAATCTTAGAGATAACTTTATACATGAACATAATTATATATCATAAAGTCAATGTTGAGAGAAACTTATCATTAGCGATTATGATGTTAATTATTTATTTGAATTTATTTGTTGAGGATTTTCACCTAGTTCACTACAGCAGCAATGCTAATAGGAATCAGTGGATGGCTAAATAAAACTAGTTTGCTAAAATCTTAATCGCTATTAAGTCTCTGATAATAAATGGTATTATGATATATAAATGTAGGTTGAGTGTTAAAGATTTAGTATTCCTTCAAACAGTTAAAAAATTTCAAGAACAAAATATGTACAAGTAATATCTACAATACATGCTCATTCGTAAATCATGCGCTGGTAACTTGTATGAATAAGCTTTCTATCAAGTGCTGACTGAATTCTTTCAAAGCAAACTTCTGGATGATGTGAAATCTGATGGGGAATAAGTTTGAGAGACGGAGAATTAGGTCAATGAGAATTTGATTATAACTTTTCAGTAACATGGTTCTATAGATACTGAACTTTATAAAAAGATAGAAGAGAGAGATCGATCTATTTTTGGACGCTACAAATATGAATTAAACTTTAATATGTATTTGAATTATACATATGAAGCTTCGCCTGAATTAAAGCTTAACACTTCGGCTAAGACGTCGGAAGTGATTACTTCATTAGGAGGAAATCTTCGTCTATTTCAACTCTATAGGATGATCCATAAAATTGGTTTTAGTCATGCTAGAAATTCCCAAATTGAAAATAAATTTTCCCGACGAGAAAGAGTTTATTCACAACCAATTGTTGTGAAAGTAGAAAATAGAAGCAAATGTTGCGCGGTAGGTCCGGAAAATAACGATAAGTCTGTAAATATCTAGTATCTAGTCGTAATTCCACCCCATAAAATTTAATATCCATGCACACCAACTGCTACTGTGTTGATCTCTAGACGTATCTACTTGAAAATTATCGGATCCACAGACCTTGCTTCCGTTATCTACCCTGAGTCTCCAGGACGGCCGTCTCTCAGGCAAATTAGTCTCCTCGGATGCTTTGCTTGTTGTCACTGTTGTTGGCGTAGCTGTTGTTATGGTAGCTGTGATCGAGGCGGTATTGCTCACAGAAGTCGCAGGCTGGGTTATTAAACAAATTAATAATCAACAAACCTTCAAAATTAGAATTATTAGTTTACATGAGGAATATTTCAAGCTCCCCTGAAATTAATCATTCTTTAAACCATCGAATAATTAATTTGTTAATTTCTACTTTCACTTAATTATTTAGTACATTATAATTTTATTTCAAAATTTAATAATTACAAGTATCACAAAATTTACTTTTGAAGCATCGTAAATTACGGAAACATCTGATTTTTAATAAATATCAAAAAGCTTTCTTTGAAGGAGTAAATTGCAGACTTCGCCCTCGATAATTAATTTTAAAAAAGTAGCTTTCAAACTAAAAAAAGTAGTCAGGCTTCGCAGTGCCCCTAAAAAGTATTTTAGGGGAAATAGGGGACTTTTAGGGGACCATAAAAATTGATTAAATAAAGATAAAAATATAATTTATTTATACAGGGTTCCCACAAAAATTTAACTTTATTTTTCCCTGACTTTTCCCTCATTTCCAAACACAACTTTCACTTTTTCCCTGACTCTAAAGAATATTCTGATTCACTCTAAAAATTATTAGATACTCAAAAAAAATGTTCTGTTCAATTTATTTACAAATTTCTTCAAAAGTAAAATTATTCGAAAACATCAATAGTTTTATTTAAAATAAATATTTAATCATTTTTTTATTGAAATTAAGATGTTCAAAAATTTCAAATTCAAACCTTTTCAAATTGAACAACTCATAAGAATATTATTATAAAACATAAAGAAATGAATCACTCCGAGTCTTCGGAGTAACAATATTCTACAAGAACATTGTTACTGTAACTTCTTCAAAATTATTTGTATCATTTCAATTGAATTAACATTTTCTAGAATTTTTAACTAAAATTCTACTTTAAATCAATAACATCAATTATTATTCAATTAAACTTTTTCAAAAAAATTAATTCTACAGAATTGTTAGTTAAAATTACAAAAAAGATTACATAATTCTACGAGAAATCAATTATTTAAATACAAAAATAAATAATATTGAATGCTTCTTAAAATTTAATTTTTACGAAGAATTTAGAGCTGTGCAAAATTCGAACCGAACCGAGTTTTGTTCGGTTTTGGGGCGCCAAAAAGTCGAATGTCGAATATTCGACATCCGAACTGGGCTAGTTCGAATGTCGAATATTCGACATTCGAACTGGGCGACTGAAATGTCGAATTTTGGAATTCGACATTTTAGCGTACTAAAACCGAACACAACTCGGTTCGGTTCGAATTTTGTAATAACTCGAATGTCGAATATTCGACATTTTAACTAAGCTAACTAAGCTAACTAGGCGAAAAAATTCGAACAGTTCGGTTCGAATTATTTTGCACAGCTCTACAAGAATTGTATTAAAAACTTATAAAAATATTTCATTTCTTTTATGGAATATAATTAAAAGTTTAATGAAATTTATTATATTGAAGAATTTTATAACAATTTTTGAAAATAATTGAAAACTTTTTGAAGAATTTTATTCAATTTTTTAAAAATAATTGAATTCCTGGGAAGAATTTGAATAATAATTTTTGAAAACAATTGAATTCATGAGAAGAATTATATTAAAATTTTTGAAAATAATTGACTTCTTGAAAAGAATTTTTAAAAAATTTTTGACAATGATTTAATTCTTGAGAAGAAATTTTCCTATCTATTTATAAAGATAATTTAATTCTTGACGAGAATTTTAAAAAAAATATTGAAAATAATTCAATTTCTGCAAAGTATTTTATTACTTTTCAAAAGAATTGAATATTGTCAAAGAATTTTATTATTTATGGAAAATAATTAAATTTTAAAATGAATTTTATTCAAATTCCTGAAAATAATTGAATTTTGTCGACGAATTTTTCTATTCATTTATAAAGATAATTGAAATGTTCACAATTTTTTGTAGATTCTTTAAAAATAATTGAATTTCTGCGAAGAATTTTATTAATTTTGAAAATAAGTGAATTTTCTCAAGGAATTTTATTAATTTTGAAAATAAATTAAATTTTTGCAAAGTATTTTATTACTTTTCAAAAGAATTGAAAAATATTTGAAATTCAGTGATGAAAATAATTGAATTCGTAAATGAAATTTTATTATTTATGAAAAGAATTGAATCTTTTCGTAGTATTGTATCTAAAAGTTTTTTCTATAATTAAATCTGTTGATAAATTTGATGAAAATAGTAAATAAAATATTGAAAATTATTGAATTGCAAAAAACTTTTGAAAGTAATTGAACTTTTTCAAAGATTTTTATAAATTTTTGAAAATAATTGAATTTTTGGCGAAAAATTTTGCTATTTGTAAAGATAATTGAATTCTTGATGAGATATTTGTGAAAATTTTTTAAATAATTGAATTTCTTCGAAAAATTTTATTACTTTTGAAAATAATTGAATTCTTGGGATAATTCACTGCAAAAATAAGTGTCTTATTTGATATCTTAAAATAAGGTGTAAGATGGAAAAATGGTATTTTACATCTTAAAATAAGATGTTTTCTAAAGTATCTTACTGATTTTTAAGATGTTTTATACGTCTTAGATATTTCTTCTATCTTAAAAAAGTAAGATACTTCTGTAAGTTTTTTAAAGTATCTTAAATTAAGATGTTTCTGTCTCAATAAGATGTTTAGCGATAAGATACTTGTGAATTGTAAGATGCGAAAAAAATTTAAGTTACTAAAAAATAGGATATATAAAATGTCTTACATATAAGCCCATAGTTAACCTCAGAACTTTTTTCCCAAAAAATATGATGAAAATGTGTACGAAAATACTTTAAACATCTTAAATTAAGATATTTCAAATACCTTAAAAATGACTACCAAAACATCTTAAATAAGATACTTCTTTTTGCAGTGAAATATTGAAATTTATGAAAATAATTGAATTTTGTAAAGAATTTTATTAAAATTCCTAAAAATTATTGAATTTCTGTGAAGAATTTTGTTATTTATCAAGATAATTGCATTAAAACTTTTGTAATAATAAATAATATTACAAAAAACATCCAACTTTTAAAAATAATTAAGACTTGACTTCACCAAAATACTAATCTTACAAATTTTATAAATTTCATGAAAAATTTCAAGATTTGAAACTTTCAAAACAAAAGTTTCCAATTGAAAGTTTCAACGGCACTGTGCTAAATTTGGTGTGAATTTATCATTAAAAGATAAAAGAAAAAAATAGGGGAAATTTTCAAAATAGGGTACGTTTAGGGGCCATAATTAAAAAAGGGGACTTTTAAGGAAATAGGGGATAGACTGTGAAGCCTGAGTAGTAAAAAAGTAGCTAACGAAAAATTAAATTTGACGACCAAAAAAACTCGTTTAATGTATAAAAAAACTTCACAAAACTGACAAAAATTACATTCCATATTTTTTTATTTTCCTGACTTTTTCTAATTTTTATCAAAAATATTAACTTCTTTATTATATTGATAATAAATTGAATTCCTGCGACAAATTTTAATATTTATATAAGAATTTTATAAAAAATTTTAAATAATTAATTTCTTTCGACTTATTTTTATGCAAATTCTAATTTAAATAATTGAAATCCTAAAAAATTCTTATTATTTATGAAAATAAATGAATTCTTACGAAGATTTTTGAAAAAATTTTTTTAAATAATTGAATTCTGTTTTTAAGTTTTATGAAAATAATAGATATTGAAAGTCATTGAATTGCGAAAAGATTTTAAAAATAATTAAATTTTACAAAGATTTTACAAAATAATTATATTCATGTGATAAATATTGTTATTTATACAAATAATTGAATTTTGCTAAGAATTTTATTGAAATGCCTCAAAATAATTGAATTTTCGGGAATAATTTTTTATTTATCGATAGAATTGAAATCTTTTAAAGAATTATTTATGTAAATAATTGAATTGAATTATTGCGAACGATTTTATTAAAATATTTTTAAATAATTGAATTTCCAAGGAAGAATTAATTAAAATAATTATAAAAAATATATAAAAAAAATTTTAAAAAATAAAAAAATTAAAAAAAAATAATAATAATAATAATAATAATAATAATTGAATTCCTGTATAAAAATTTTGTTAATTAATTGACTTTTTCGAAATTTTTTTGAAAATGCTATTCTAAATTAATTGAATTTCTGTGGAAATTTTATTATTTATGAAAATAATTGAATTTTGGATGAGTTTTATTATTCTTTTTTAAATAATTGAATTGTTTTGAAAAATGTTATGAAAATACTAGATATTAAAAATAATTGAATTTCGAATATTTTTTGAAAATAATTGAATTGTTTTAAAGAATTTGATTCTAATTTTTGAGAATAGTTTTTTGATTTCTAGTATTAGCGAATTTAAAGTAGTGGAAGTTCTCAAAAAAAACAGAAATAGTAACTTTTAGTGGCTGAAATTTAAAAAAAGTACCCAAATAGTAGCATAACGTAAAAAAAGTAGTAAATAGTAGGTTTTAGTAGATGAGTGCAAAGCCTGAAATTGAGTTTTATATTTTCCAATCGTTTCTTTTTGATCTTTAAAAAATGCAGAAAAAATTATTTTAAACAATTCAAAACTTGACCCTTTTCTTTGAAAATAAAAAATACTTTTGACTTTTTTTCAAAAACACTTTTTCTTTCTTTACTAAGCCTTAAGAAATTTACATATAAAACAGTATTTTTAGAAAAAGTTGATACAATATAACTTGTTTTAAGCATAGTAAAACAATTCCCAGCTATTTCCAGATTTTCCAGGTTACGACATTTAGACAATCGGAAATTTGAAGCAGTACCAAAAATAAATCAATTTTAAGGGGAGATGCAAGCTCGGCTGAGACATCCATTCTCGAAATAAATTATTGGAAATTTTTCGTCGCCATGTTCGAGAAAAAAAATAAAATTAAGTGTCGTGTTATTCTTGAAAATTAATTATTAGTAAAAATTACACCAACTAACACTTTGTCTGTTTTTTTTTTCATTTGAAAAGTTAGGTAAAGAAGGTAAAAAAGTAGTAATCTGTGATACTCATAATTACTAATAATCTTATTTAAAATCACACATTTATATTTGTAAATTTGCGTATATATTTAGATAGATTGACAGCTAAATGTATTAATAGAAAAATCCATTACCAAAAAAACTAAAATTTCATAGAATTAGAAAGCGCAAAAATGATATTATTGATTCGTAATAATTTCAATTGTTAATGTAGATAAGGTTAAATAAATCACAATATCTTTTTGTAAAACTCAAAATACTTACAAACAAATATTTAAAATCAATTTTTTTTACAAATTTGAACCATTTCAAAAATAATTTAAAAATAGCTTCAAGTATAAAAATTGTGTATGGCTAATTACAGAATGAGAGCTTCAATGGTTTAAAAACATTTAAATAATATAATAAATATAAATAATAAATATTATTGATCTATTACTCAATCAGGGTTGCTACAAAAATTTAATTTTCTTTTTCCCTTACTTTTCCCTGATTTCCAAATAAAATTTTAACTTTTTCCCTGACTCTAAAGAATATTGCTTCACTCTAAAAGTAATTAGAAAGTCAAAGAACGTTCTATTACATTTATTTACGAATTTCTTTATTTGTAAAATTATTTATCCAAAAACATCAATAACTTCTTTTTCAAATAAATACTTAATCAGTATTATTTTTTAATAGAATTAAAATTTTTAAAATATTCAAATTCAAATTCAAATTCTTATAAAACATGACAGAATTAGATATTATTTTATATTATAAGAATATTATTACTCTAACTTCCTCAAAATTATTTTCATCATTTCAATTCAATTATTGTTTTTTAGAATTTCCAACTAAAATTCTTCTTTAAATCAATTAATTTTAATAATTTTTGAAAAAGTTCTTTAAGAATATTCAAATCCACTTGTTTACAATTCAATTTTACTGTTTCAAAAATTATTAAAAATAATTTATTTAAAGAAGAATTTTAGTTGGACTATTTTTGAAACTAATTGAATTATTGCGAAGAAAATTAATAAAAAATTTGTAAATAACTGAATTCCTGTGAAATTTTTATTATTTCTGACAGTTTATGAAAATAATTTAACGTTTGGTTTGCGTAGAATTTTATTACTTTTTTTAAAATAATTGAATTTCTGCAATCATTTGTAACTCTCCAAAATTCAAATTTTCTTAGTGTTTTTAACTAAAATTCTTCCATAAATCCATTATTTTTAATAACTAATTAAATGTATGTTAAAAAATTTGACTTACTTCATCAGAATTGAAATTAAATTTTTTCAAAAAAATTAATTCTATAAAATTGATAATTATAATTATATGAAAAATTTTAATTTTCAAATATTTTACTTTGAAACCTCTGCAAAATTCAATTATTATCTAAAATTTTAGCAAAAATTCATTTTTAAATAAATTTTTTTTCGAAATTTCTACGAGAATTCAATTATTTACATACAAAAATAAATAATTTATTGAATAATTGAATGTTTCTCAAAATTGAATTCTAATAAAGAATTTTTTTAAAAATTTTTTTAAATAATTGAAATTTTGAGAAGAATTTTATTGCCATTTTTGAAAATAATTGAATTTTGGAGAAGAATTTTGTTATTTATAAAGATAATTGAAATTTCGACCAGAATTTTTTTAAATTTTTGTATATATGTACAAAAAAATTTTTAAATAATTGAAATTTTGACAAGCATTTTTTTGAAATTTTTGAAAATAATTGAATTTCTGCAATTATTTATAACTTCTCCAAAATTCAATTTTTTTTAGTGTTTTTAACTCAAATTCTTCTATAAATCCATTATTTTTAATAATTAATTAAATATATATTAAAAATTTAACTACTTTTAGAAGAATTTGAATTATTAAAATTTTTCAAAAATCTGAGTTCTTAAATATTCTAATTTAATTCATTCAAAATTGAAATTTTATAAATTTTGAAATTGAATCCGTTTGAAGTTCACTTATTTATGAAAATTGTAAACGCAACTCTTTTAAAATTCAATTAATTTTATTTCATTAATTGAGAAATAAATTAATATTTTATTAATTAAATTTAATTAAAGTCGTATGGATATTGAAGAAGAACTGAAGACAATGTTTGAAAATAATTGAAATTTTGCCAAGAATTTTATTAAAATTTTTTGAATTTCGGAGCAGAATTTTGTTATTTATAAAGATAATTGAAATTTTGAAGAGAGTATATTTTAAATTTTTGAACTTAGGTAATTTAATTTTTGCGAAGAATTCTATTACTTTTGGAAATAATTGAATTTCAGCAATGTAACTTTTCCAAAATTCAATTTTTTTAATTGTTTTTAACAAAAATTCTTCTAGAAATAAAAAATTATTTTCAATAATTAATTAAATATTTATTTAAAAATTTAGCTGCCGGATCAAAGAAGAGCACATAACCGATGTAATTTAAATGTATTATGTGCCTTTCTTCGATCCGGCGGCAGCTCAATTTAACTTATTACAGAAGATATTAAATTATTTAAATTTTACAAAAATTTTAGTTCTTTATAATTTCTAATAAAATTTAGTGAAAATTGAAATTTTCTAAAATTTCAAATTGAAACCTTTTGAAGTTCATTTATTTATGAAAATTGTAAACGCAACTCCTTTAAAATTGAATTAATTTTGAAATATTTAAATAATTTATAAATAATAATTATAGCACGTTATTTCTTGTCAATCTGATGGTTAAATTTAACTGAAATTTGGATCAATTGGAGCTAAATAAAAAAGTTGAAATCTAGTTTTTTCATAAATTAAAATGCATTTTTTTACCTGAATCGAAGGCGCCGTAGGAGTAGGGGAATCATTATTTTGCTGCTGCTTCTTTTTCACCAATTGTTCAGCGCTTTTGATTTCATCTAATGTAACACCTTGGGTCGATCGTCGCGTCTCCCTCACTCTCTTTGCATGAGCCTTCCTCTGAGTTTCACTCTCTTCATCTCTCACCGGAGGCACAAAAGACCTAACAATTATTAAAACACAAAAAATTCCAATTATATTATTGGTTACAAATAAAAGATATATTATTAAGTGAGCGATTTCAAAACAAAGCGCTCTATAATATAACAAAAGTTATCTAAAAAAATAGAAAGGAACCATCAGGCAAAGCGCATTTTGCTTCAACCTAAAAAATCATTCTGTGGGTTAAAAAAGATAATTAAATATAGGAAAACAGTTAATATCAAGATTTACACTTTCAATTATTTTCAGGGTCTAAGAATTTGTATTTAAAAAAAAAAGAAAAAATTAATTTGATAACTTAATCAAGTCTATAAGAAACAAATAATTAAAAATTTATTAATTTGGAATCAAGTTAAAAATTATGAAGGAAAGTCCAAAGAAATAATGATATTTAAAGCAATATGCCGATTAAAAGTATTCTATGACGCAAGGCTCGAACCAGTGAAATTATTTTAAAATACGGACTTTACGGACCAATTAGTACTGACAAAAATATAACTAGTCCGAGTCAACATTTCAATTTAATTATTATTTTCTAGAATTTTTAACTAAAATTCTTCTTTAAACAATAATTATTTTCAATAATTTTCGAAAAAATAAAATTCGAAAATCTTCAATTAAATATATATTAGAAAATAACAACTTCAAAAAATTTCAAAAAAAATTCAATTAAACCTTTTGAAAAAAATTGATAGAAATAAAATTCTTTTAAACAATTTTATTAGAAATTTGTAAATTTTGTTAATAATTATATTTTTTCAGATTTTCATTAAATTCCGTAAAAATAATGTAATTTTTTAATATAATTTTAATTGAAAATTTTTAAAATAATTGAAATTTACAAAGAATATTGTTTAAAACTTTCGAGAACAATTAAATTGTTTAGAAAAATTTTATTACAATTTTTAAAAAATAATTAAACTTGCTAGAGAAATTTTATTAAAATTATCTTCAATATAATTAAATTTCTTCCTAGAAATTTTGTTAAAATTCTATTGAAAAAAAATTGAATTCCTCCGAAACGAATTATTTCGAAAAATTTTATCTAAATTTTTGAAAATAATTGGATTTTTTTCAAAATTTTAAAAATAATGATTTTTTAAACAGAATTTCATCAAAATTGTTGAAAATAATTGATTTATATTAAAATTTTTGAAAATAATCGAATTTAATTAATATTTTTTAAAATAATTGTACTCTTTTGAGAAATTCTATTAAAATTTAATTTAAAATAATTGAAATTCTGTAATGAGTTTTATTATTTATAAAAATAATGAAATTATTGGGAAGAAATTTATAAAAAATGTGTAAATAATTGAATTCCTTGTGAAATTTTAATTATTTTATGAATATAATGAAATGTTTGCGCAGATTTTCAATAAAATGCTATTAAATAATTGAATTCTTTTGGAAAATTTTATTAAAATAGTAGAAATTAAAAATCATTGAATTGAGGAAAATTTTTGAAAATAATTGAAATTTTTGCCGAGAATTTTATCAAAAATTTTTAAAATAATTGAATTCTTGCAACGAATTTTATTAAAATTTATAAAAATAATTGAATTCTTACGAAGAACTTTATTAATTTTTTCTAAATAATTGAATTCTAGCGAAGAATTTTATAAAAATCATTTTAAATAATTGATTTTTTTCGAAAAATTTTATGATAATTGTGTTTGCAAATAATTAAATTCCTGCGAAAATGTTATTATTTATAAAAATAATTAAATTTATAAAAAAAATTTTATTATTTACAAAAATAATTGCATCTTTGTGTTAAAGTAAATATGTTAGATACGAGTTAGACGATTTACACTTTAGTGTCTTGTTTTGAATTTACGGAAACGAAAGTGTCTAGGTTTTCAATTTGGAACTATAGAGGGACTTCTGTATGATAACTCGCTTGCCCTATTACTAAAATTGTTCAGTTCGCTTGGTAGTTGGTAGCTTTGTACCAAACACATCTCTTATATTTATGTATTTGTACTACCTTGACTTTGATAAATAAATAGAATAGTTTTGTTCATAATCTCGTTTTTGGTCACTAATTAATTAACACTTTGTAAAATTTTTATATTATTTATGAAAATAATTGAATTTAGAAAGAATTTTCATAAAATTTTTTATAATCTTAATTAAATTGTTTTGAAGAATTTCTTCGAGTTTCTTTAAAATAATGGAGTTTCTTTAATAATTTATAATAATAATTTATAATAATTTATAATTTATAATAATAATTGAAATTGTGATGAGAATTTAAAAAAAATTTTAAACATGATTGAGTTTCCACAAAGAATTTTATTACTTTTGAAAATAATTGAATTTTTGCAATTATTTGTAACTTCTAAATAATTCTCCAAATTATATCGTTAAATTTACTTTTACGGAATTTACGGACCTAGTTCGAGCCCTGTTTTTAATATCAAAATTTACACTTTTAATTATTTTCAGGGGCTAAGAATGTTTATTTAAAAAAGAAAAAGTAAAAAATTAATATTTGATAAGTTAATCTAGTTTATAAAAAACTAATAATTAAAAATTTATTAATTTCGAATCAAGTTAAAAAATTATGAAGAAAATTTTAATTATTTAGGAATTATGATATTTAAAGAAATATATCGATTTATTAAAAAAAGGTTGAAAGTATCCTATGACGTTACTGATTGTGACAAAAAGTTTTAGTGGACATCATACTGTATAAAAAAAAGCGTCACTTAAATTATGAAAAAATCGTCGAGCACCTACGTAAACATAATAAGCGAAAAATATTGTTATTCTTGGCAAAATGTAAATTTCTGTAAATATGCAGTAAATAATTAATGTAAATAAAATTCACACGAAAAAAAGCAAATTTCCATGCTGCTGCAAATAAATGATTAAATTAATGAAATGTCGATCAGATAAAATTTGTTTAAAGAACTCTTCCAGGACGATGAAATGGGTACGCACTTGAAGAAATTCTTGAAGATATTGCCAGGACTAAGTTTACTACCTCCTGGAGTTGTTGGGGTCATTGGAGACGCCACAGAATTGTTTAATGTGTAGATAACTGTAGTGTCATCCGCTGATTGAGAACTATTCAGTGATATTAAACAATAATTACAATTCGTCAGAATGACTATTATAGAAACAATTAAAATGTCGAATTATACACGAAAAAAAATCTTCACCTGGAACAGCTGCAAATTTTACTGTATTAGCAAAATTTTTACTTGCTTCAATTAAAACTTTCGCTATTCTAAAGAAAATTATCGTTGTTCTAGGTAATAATTTTTTTTCGTGTAAACATTAGAACACAATATTTAGATTTGATTTGAATTATCTCAAATATATGAAGTGTTCCATGTTCAACCCAAGTCAAATTTTACAAAGGAACGTTCATAAATGATGCCACTCACTTTTTCAGTTTTTAAATTTTTAAAATAATCCATTTTGTTACTATGTATTAAAAATTGACGATCTATAATGTAACACAGCCACAAAAAAAAAAAAAAGTTCTGATCTGGGGGTCTCACTATGTAGACTTTATGTTTTTTGGGTCGCTGAATCCGAATCCGAGGTCCATTTAACCCTATCAGATCAGGATTTTGACATAACCTCAAAAAACCATATTGGTTTTTTGAGGTTATGTCAAAATCCTGAATATGGCTGACACAGACATATTGGATCCGCCATTTTGAATTTTTGAAATCAGACTTCAAATTCGTAATCAGCGACCCCAAAAACCCCCGAGTAACGAATTTCAAGCGAATCCGATGAACTTTTCCAAAATGTGTCCGCCATATTGGTTTTTTGAGGTTATGTCAAAATCCTGATCTGATGGGGTTAAATGGACCTCGGATTCGGATTCAGCGACCCAAAAAACATAAAGTCTACATAGTGAGACCCCCAGATCAGAACTTTTTTTTTTGTGTGGCTGTGTAATCTTTGACCTAAGTAGATATTATTAAAAAAATTGATGAGATAAAGAATTGAAAAACCATACTTTTTTTGTGAACCTTCCCCAACTCATAATTAATTCAGGGTTGCCACAAAAATTTAATTTTGTTTTCCCTGATTTCAAGACAAAATTTTGACAAAGAATATTCTGATTAAATCTAAAAATTATTAGATACTCAAAAAAATGTTCTACACTGTAAAAAAAGGGAGTTAAATTTTAACTCCCCCGGGGGGTCTATAAAAGTCGCACCCATTGGGGAGTTAATGCCAGGGGAGTTAAATAAAGAGAGTTAAAACTTCACACCCAAATGCTAACTCCCCAAGGAAAAAATAACTCGCGTGGGTGTTGAATGAAGGGAGTTAGAAATTAACTCTCTTTTGGAGTTGATTTTTAACTCGAAAAATTTCACTCCCAACTCCCGAGTCCGTTAACTCCCTAAATTTTTTACAGTGTATTACATTTATTTACAAATTTCTTCAATTGTAAAATTATTCGAAAACATCAATACCTTCTTTTTTAAATAAATATTTAATCATTATTTTTCTATAGGAATTAAGATTCTCAAATTCAAACCTTCTGAAATTTTAATTTAAACCCTTTTCAAAATTCAATTATTTCCAAAAATTCACGCTATAATGCTTTTAATATTGAATTACAATTTAAAATTTTAAGTGAAATTCATTTTTTAATCAATGTTTATTCGAAAATTTTTCGAGAATTAAATTATTTAAATACAAAAATAAATAATTTATTAAATAATTGAATATTTCTTTAAATTGAATTTTTATGAATAATGTTATCAAAATTTTTTAAAATAATTGATTTTTGCAGAGTTTTTTAAAACTTTTTGAAAAAATGAAAATAATTGAAATCTGACGATGCATTTTATTAAATTTTTTGTTAAACAATTAAAATTCTGTGAAAAATATTCTTTTTGAAAAAAATTGAATTCTTGAGAAGAACTTTATTAAAACTTAGATAATTAAATTGCTTCGAAGAATGTTATATTTTACGAAAATAATTGTATTCTATGATCAATTTTATTATAATTTTTCAAATTTATATAAAGCATTTTATGAAACTTTTTTTAAAAATAATTGAATTCTCGAGAAAAATTTTATTATTCAAATTTTTTTAAATAATTGAATTACCATAAAGAAATGTATTATTTTTGAAAAGTAATTGAATTCTTAAGAAGAATTGTATTGAAAATAATTGAATTGTATAGAGAAATTTTATTAAAATGCAATTTTATTAAATAAATCTTGTAAAGAACTTTGTCAACATTATTTTAAATAATATATGGTATTTTTAAAAGAACTTTATTTAAATTTTTCGAAATCATTGAATTTCTCAGAACTATTTTTTCAATTCTCTGAATATATTTAAATTCTTTCGTTAAACTTCATTAAAAAATTTTAAATAATTGAATTGGTGCGAAGAAATTTATAAAAAAATTGGTAAGTAATTGAATTCCTGCGAAATTTTTATTAAAACTTTGGGGCCATTCAAGTATTACGTTAGCATATTTTTCAGGTTTTTAGACCCCCCCCCCCCTCCCCCTTGTAAGAAATTAAATTATATTAAAAATAATTGAAATGAGGAGAATGTTTGAAAATAATTGAAATTTTGCAAAAATTTTATTAAATTCAATTAAACTTTTTCAAAAAAGTTAATTCTAGAGAATTGTTAGTTAAAAGTATAAAAAATTCAGATTTTCAAATATTTTAATTTGAAACATTTTCAAAATGAAATTATTTTTAAAAATTCATATTATAATGATTCTAAAATTCAATTATTATCTAAAATATTAACTGAAATTCATTTTTAAATCAATTTTTATAATTCTTATAAATTTTATAAATTTTTATAATTATTTTTATAATTTATTTATATTTTATAAGAAAATTCTACGAGAACTGAATTATTTAAATATAAAAATAAATAATTTTTTGAATAATTTAATGATTCTTAAAATTGAATTCTTTTGACGAATTTTAATAAAATTTCTAAGAATAATTACATTTTTCGAGGAATTCGATTAAAATTGTATTAAAAATAATTGAAATTCTGCGGTGAGTTTTATTATTTATGAAAATAATTGAATTCCTACAAAAAAATTTTATTATTTTTAAGAATATGTAATTGAATTCCTGTAAAAATTTTATTATTTATGAAAATATTTGTATTATTATGTACAAATTTGTAAAAATTATTTGTAATTAATTGAATTTTTGTGAAATTTTCATTATTTATGAAAATAATTATATGTTTGCATTGAAATTTATCAAAATTTTTTTTGAGTAGATAATAATTATTAAGTTTATTTGGAGAATTTTATTTAAATAATAGGTAGATATTGAAAATCATTGAATTGAGGAAAGTTTTTTAATAATAAATTTTATATACATATTAAAAAATGTAACTTTCTGAAGAATTTGAATTATTAAAATTTTTCAAAAATTTAAGTTCCTTTTTCTAATTAAATTCATTCAAAATTGAAATTTTATAGACTTTTAAATTAAAACTTTTTGAAGTTCATCTATTTATGAAAATTGTAAACGCAACTATTTTAAAATTCAATTAATTTTGAAATAATTAAATAAAATTATTCATTAAACAATTTCTAAGCAATAATTTTATGATAGTTCTTTAAGAATTAAATTATTTGAAAAGAAATTATTGTCAGAAATAGGAAAATTTGAAGGTTTTGTAATAGAATTCGTGGTAATTTCACAATTTATGAAGCAAACAAAAAAGACACCAAAACTCAGAATTTTCTTATGACTTCCAAAAATTTAATTTTTCCCAGTACTTTTAATAAAAATTCCTGACTTTTCCCTGATTTCCCTGACCAATTCTACTTTTCCTGATTTTACCCTGAATTCCCTGACCTGTGGCAATCCTGTAATTTCAAAATAAAAATACATGCCAGAATAAATGCTGAAAATTTAATAAACAGTTTTCCAAAAATATATTGTAAAAACATTCCAAACCAAATCTACAAAGTATCAAAATTTTCTAAAAATATGCTTCATTAACTTGGGCGAAATGTAATTATTGAATGACTTAAATATTTTTTTAAATTACAGTTTAAATTCCGATTACAAAGTGCCTCTAAATAATAAAATGAAACTCAAATTTTTTTAAGGGTTGATTAAGTTTACGTGATTTTCTAAATTGGTTTAATAATTAACAATGAAAAAATAGATAAACAAATCTCCAAATTTGAATTAGTGAAATAGCGACTATTAATTCAAACTAGTAAAATCATTTTCACTAATTTCTAGTAAATGTTTAATAATTTCATTTTGTAGATTTAGTTTAATCTTTAAAATTTCTATAGGAATTCGTAGAAATTGTTACTCTAAAGTAGTAGACAACTTTCACTAATTCAGATTTAGAAAAAAATCTTTTAAACTTAAAAACATAAATACACTTAATAAAGATTTTATTATAGAAACAAATTAATTTACCTGCGAATTTGATTTCCAGGAAGTGGACTAGTTACAGTTGTAGTTGTGGTAGTGAAATTCGTTGATGCTGGCAGTGAAGAGACCGGCGAAGATTTATTAGAAAGCGATTGCGATAAATTATTCCCTTGAGGTACTTTTGATAAATCTAAATTCAATTTAATGTCCTTTTTCCTAAAGTTTAAAGAAAATCATTATTATCAATATTGTTATTATTCAATATTCTTTTTACTATCACTAATATTATTCTAATTATTCTTATTATTAATGCTCTTTACTTCATTTTTTTAATTTATTTAATCTGTTACTGTTATTTATCATTAATAAACACATAAATAAAAAAAACAATTTTTGAAAATATGAAAATGTAACTGAAAGCAATTAAACAAAAGCTTAAAGCACGAATTTCAAGCGTTTGAAAGCAATGAAATATTTATTATTATTATTATTATATAAACTTCCAGAACGACCAATAAGGACTTAAATATATATGTGAATAAAAATTCAATAAGAGCATTAATTTTTTCATTCAAATTCAAAAATATTAATAGTTTGTTTCCTTATTTATTGACTGCTTTGTCCTTATTAGGTGTTGTTGCTAATTAAACAAGAAATAATATTAAACAAACAATACTTTGTTAAAATTATATGCATTGTTTGTCAACGTCAAACTTGTAGTACAAGTGGGCCTGCAAGCTTACATCAAATTTTCAAGTTTCCTGCAAGCTTACAGGTTTCTTGTTTGTAACAAAATAATTGTTTATTTCATTTGTTACTTAACAATGTTTCTAAAATTGTTAAAAATAATCATTTTCATGAATACTCAGAAACATGATAACATGGTAAATAAACTGAATTTAAAAAAATTTTAATTGAGCGCCTTACAGACTACAAAAAATTACTTAATCGAAATTGGTTTGGAAAAAATCCAGAACATCAAAATATCGCGTTCAAAATGTTGAGACTATCAGATAGGCATGATGCCGAAATTTTTTTTTCAAATTTCAAAATGGCGTCTCAAAAATGTCCGCCAAATTTTCAAATTTAAGAAAATAATTTTAAAAAATTTCAACATTATTTTTTTTAACTTTTATGCTTCATTTGAATAAAATAATGCTGTTTTCACATTTTGCAAATTTTTTATAAGAATTGTTTATAACATTTTTATACATTATTTACAAATTTTTTATAAACGGTAGATACTTCAGTTTACATTTTAATGAAATCAAAAAAAGTTAGTGGTGAAGGAAAGAAGATTTTTTTCCACTCTGAACATCTTTTTTTATCAAAATTGTTTATAACATTGTAAAAAAATGTTAAACGATGTTTAATCGATACTAAAAATGCAATATAAAAAATCGAAAATCTGACAAAGAACTTCTCACTTAAAAAAAATAAACACTGCAAATTATTACAAAATACAGACTTCGCACTCGATATTTAATTTTAAAAAAATAGCTTTCAAACTAAAAAAAGTAGTAAAAAAAGTAGATACGGAAAAATTGAACTTAACGACCAAAAAACTATTTCTAGACACTTCACAAAACTGACAAAAAAAAATTACATTCCATATTTTTTATTTTCCTGACTTTTTGTGTGGCATTTTATTAAATTTTTATGAAAATAATTAAATTCCTAAAAAGCATTTTATTATTTATGAAAATAATTGAATTCTTGCCAACGATTTTATTAGAATTTTTTGAAATAATTAAATTTCCAAGAAGAAATTTATTACTTTTAGAAATAATTAAATTCTTGTGATAAATATTATTATTTATGAAAATATTTGAATTTTGAAAAGAATTTTATTAAAATGCATCAAAATAATTTAATTCTTGGGAATAATTTTAATTATTAAAATCTAAAAAAATATTTGAATTATTTCAAAAAAATTCGAACAATTTTTGTTAAAATATTTTTAAATAATTGAATACCTGTGAAAAACTAATATTTTTTTAAATAATTGAATTCTTTCAAAGAAATTAAAAAAAAAAACATTTTTTTAAATAATTGATTTTTTCAAGGAATTGAAATTAAATTTTTAAGAAAAATTACAAATTAAAAAATCCTGCCATGAATTTTATTTTTTTATGAAAATAATTGAATAGTTGCTAAGAATTCTATTAAAATTTTCAAAAATAATTGAATTCCTGAGAAGAATTTTATTATTTACGAAAATAATTGAATTATTGCGAAAAATTTTATTAAAATGTTTAAAAGGAATTGAATTTCTGTGAAAAATTTTGTTATTTTTGAAAATAATTGAATTCTTCATATGAATTTTATAAACATTAATTAATTTATAAAATTTATAAAAATTAATTAATTTTTTCAAAATATAATAAATATTATGATAATTTTATTGTAAACAATTGAATTCTTGTGACAATAATTTAATTTTTCGATTAATTAATTTAAATTAGTATTAAAAATATTTGAAAATTTTTCGATAAGTTTTATTAGTTATGTAAATAATTGAATTCTTGCTTAGAAGTTTAACAAAAATTGAATTTCTATGAAAAATATAATTGAATTATTCTGAAGAATGTATACAATTTTTGTTAAATAATTGATTTTTTTGAAATTTTTTGGAAAATGCTATTCTAAATTAATTGAATTTCTATGGAAATTTTATTATTTATGAAAATAATTGAATTTCGGATGAATTTTATCAATTTATTTTTAAATAATTGAATTGTTTTGCAAAATTTCATGAAAATTCTATGATATTGAAAATAATTGAATTTTGAATACTTTTTGAAAATAGTTGAATCGTTTTAAAGAATTTGATTATAATTTTTGCGGATTGTTTTTTTATTTCAAGTATTAGTGAATTTAAAGTTCCTATAGTGGTAAAAAAAAGTAGTAAATAGTAGCTTTTAGTAAATGAGTGCAAAGCCTGACGATTATATTTCATGTTTTGCAAATTGTTTATAACATTGTTAAACATTGTTAAATAATTTTAAATTAATTTTTTTTACTTTCAAAATCCATTTTCACTGCAAAAAAAAAGAATTGCAGAAAATAAAATTTTTTCCACCACTTTGGTCCATAGTTTTCAAATTGTTTCCAAAATTGCTTACAATTTGCTAAATAACATCAGATAACAATATTTTTTGTCGAAACAGCATTATTTTATTTAAATAAAGCATAAAAGTTTTTAAAAAAAATTTTGTTTTAAAATTATTTTTTAAAATTTGAAAATTTTAGCGACCATTTTTGAGACGCCATTTTGAAATTTGAAAAAAAAATTCGGCATAATGCCTATCTGATAGTCCCATCATTTTGGACGCGATATTTTGATGTTTCGGATTTTTATAAAGTTAAATAGGTGCAATTTTGATTAAAAACATTTAAGAAATCTAAGTTTTGTATTAAGGCGCTCAATAAAATTCTAAAGCTCATGTTTTTGTCCAATTCGAAGAGTCTCCATGAAGGTAAGAAATGTTGATTTTGAATTGAAGCAAGTACCTGAAGGTTTCACGCAGGGACGCAGAGCGAGCGGTCACAGCGTTGTTATGAGTAGGAGAAGATGGGTTGCAACGATGGAGAGTGGGGCAGGAAGATGCCTTGATACGAGCTCGCAATGCCAAGTACTGCTCATAGAACCTGCGTAACATGCGTCATGCCATGCGTACTTCTACGTACCAGAACTTTTCAATTGCTTTAACCTAATCCTAATCCTAATTTCCTTCACTATTATTACACAAAGAAATAGCCCTAACAATACGCGAAAATTCTCCAACAAAATTTTTCAAAATGTACATTTCTTAAACAGGGGATTATTCTCTAGCAATATTTTTTCATCTTTCTCTTATAAAATTTAATTTTCTTTTCAATTAGCATTAAATAAAATTGAATGTACATTTTCTAAACTAGAACGACATTTAAAATTTTCAATAAACCTCCGATTATTGGATTTTATAACCAATTGAATGCTCCTTGGTTTGAGTTTAAAAAATTGCAATTTAGTAAAAGCGTTAAACTGAATAAATGAAATTAATTCAAGTATCAAAACTTCGGAGGGTTAATGTTATAGTGATGATGAATGAAGTCTTGCGCTTGAAATTGTTTAATGCAGCTTTGGAACATGAAAACAACTAATAACACTAAGCTATTTTTAATGCTTTTTTTATAAGCATCAGATGACAAAAAAGCTAAATTTTTGAAATTTATTTAAAAAAAACACTCACTTTTCATCAGTTTCGAAACTGTGGGTTCTTCTCAAAACCACCTCAGGTTCTTCTCTCATTTTTACTGGTGATTGTGACGATTTTATAGACTTTTCCTTCTCTTCTATTTCTACAAAAAATCATTATCATTAATAAAAATTTATTCATTTTTATTTTTATATATTTTTTTTTATTTATTAATTTTTCTTTATTTAAAGTAAAGCACGTAAAATAATTGCACGTACTAGAAAAAAGTTTTGAAATTGATACTTACTAGAAGATAAAGAATTAACAGGTTCTGAATCTTGATTTCTATTTCTAAAAGATCCAGAACGTCTCCACGAAGGAATGGAACCTTCATCGTTATTCTCAGTCTCTTGTTTACTTGGCATGATTGAAGCCTTGAAATAATAAAAAAATTAAAGAAACAAACAAAAATTACAACTGTTTAAAAAACAAAAAAAAGATACGTTTTTATCTACCTGATTAGGAACTTTGTTGCTCTCTATGGAAGGTGTTGGACTATGTGAAGCTGTTTCATCTCTATTCACTCTATTCTTTTTCTCTGAAAAAGTAAACATCAAATTACCAAAAACACGAAAATTCTCTTTTTTTTAGTTTAAAAATTGATTGAACGAAATTCTTGTATCGATACTAAAAATGCAATATAAAAAATCGAAAATCTGACAAAGAACTTCTCACTTAAAAAAACATAAACACTGCAAATTATTACAAAATACAGACTTCGCACTCGATAATTAATTTTAAAAAAATAACAAAAAGTATCTTTCAAATTTATAAATTCAAGTTATTATAATTATTATTTTAAATTTCAATTTTTAAATAATCGATTTCTTTCGACTAATTTTATGCAAATTCTAATTTAAATAATTGAATTCTTACGAAAAGTTTTACAAAAAAATTTTAAATAATTGAATTCGGTTTGAAAATTTTATGAAAATAGTAGATATTGAAAATCATTGAATTGCGAAAAGTTTTTAAACATAATTAAATTTTACAAATAATGCTATTAAAATTTTAGAGAATAATTGAATGTCTCAGTGGTATCTTATTAAATTTTTTTGAAAATAATTAAATTTCTGAAGAGCATTTTATTTTTTATGAAAATAATTGAATTCTTGCGAAAGATTTTATTAGAATTTTTTTAAATAATTGAATTTCCAAGAAAAAGTTTATTACTTTTAACAATAATTGAAATCTTGTGATGAATATTGTTATTTATGAAAATAATTTAATAGTTGCAAAGAATTCTATTATAATTTTCAACAATAATTGAATTCCTGAGAAATTTTTATTCACGAAAAGAATTGAATTCTTACGAAGATTTTTACAAAAAAATTTTTTTAATAATTGAATTCTGTTTGTAAATTTTATGAAAATAGTAGATATTGAAAATCATTAAATTGAAGAAAAGTTTTTAAAAATAATTAAGTTTTACTATGAATTCAATTAAAATTTTTGACAATAATTGAATTTTCGGGAATAATTTGGATATTTATCAACATAATTGAATTCATTCAATGAATTATTTATGTAAATAATTGAATTCTTGGGAAGAATTTTATTAAAATCTAAATAAAAAATAAGAATTGAATTCTTTCAAAAAAATGTAATTATAAAATTGTATTTAAAATAATTGATTTCTTTCCAACAATTTTATTAAAATATTTGAAAGTAATTGAATTCTTGTGAAAAATTGTAATATTTTTGAAAATAATTGAATTCTTTCAAAGAATTCAAAAAAATTTTTTTTAAATAATTGATTTTTTGGAAGAATTGAAATAAGTTTTTTTTTAATAATAATTACATTTTTTTAGCAATTCCTGTAACATTATATTAAAAATAATTGAATTCCTGTGAAAAATTGTAATATTTATAAAAATAATTGAATAATGGCTAAGAATTTTATTTTTTATGAAAATAATTAAATACGATTTTATTAGAATTTTTTAAAATAATTGAATTTAAAACAAATGTATTGCTTTTAAAAATAATTGAATTTTGAAAAGAATTTTATGAAAATGTCTTAAAATTATTGAATTTCTGTAAATAATTTTGTTATTTATCAAAATAATTGAATTTTTTCGGAAAATTATTTATGTAAATAATTGAATTCTTGGGAAGAATGTTATTAAAATTTAAAAGAATAATTGAATTATTTCAAAAAAATTTAATGAAAATTGCATTAAAAATAATTGATTCTTTTCGAACAATTTTATCAAAATATTTTTAAATAATTGAATTCCTGTGAAAAATTCTAATATTTTTGTAAATAATTGAATTCTTCCGAAGAATATAAAAAAAACTTTATTAAATAATTGATTTTTTCGAGGAATTGAAATTAAATTTTTAAGATTTTTTTGAGCAATTCCTGTAAAATTGTATTAAAAATAGTCAACTTAAACCGGTTGTGTTGTTCGCACAAAATCTAAATTAATTTGCGTTTTCCGATGAGGACAGCAGGGCTGTCGAAACGTAAAATTGAGTTTTAATATTTGTTTAATATTTGACTTGGAGGATTGATAAATTTCTTGACAATTAATGTATTAAAAATAATTGAATAGTTGCTAAAAATTTTATTGAAATTTTCAAAAATAATTGAATTCCTGAGAAGAATTTGATTATTTATGAAAATAATTGAATTATTGCGAAAAATTTTATTGAAATGTTTAAAAAGAATTGAATTTCTGTGAAAAATTTCGTTATTTTTGAAAATAATTGAAATTTTTCGATGAGTTTTATTATTTATGAAAGTAATTGAATTCTTGCTTGGAATTTCATAAAAAAAATTAAAAAATTTCATAAAAATGCTTGGAATTCAAAAAATTGAATTTACATGAAAAATGTTATTATTAGTGAAAGTAATTGAATTATTGTGGAGAATTGTACAAAAATTTTGTTAAATAATTGATTTTTTCGAAATTTTTTTCAAATGCTATTTTAAGTTAATTGAGTTCCTTTGAAAAATTCTAATATTGCATTGAATTTTATGATTTATGAAAATAATTGAATAGTTGCTAAGAATTTTATTAAAATTTTCAAAAATAATTGAATGTTATGATAATTTTATTTTAAATAATTGAATTCTTGTGGAAAACTTTATTTGTGGAAATAATTGAATTCTTCGATTAATTAATTGAAAATAGTATTAAAAATAATTGAATTTTTTCGATGAGTTTTATTATTTAGGACAATAATTGAATTCTTGCTTAAAATTTTATCAACAATTTTTTGAAAAAAAATTGAATTTCCATGAAAAATGTTATTATAAATGAAAATAATTGAATTTCGAATATTTTTTGAAAATAATTGAATCGTTTTAAAGAATTTGATCATAATGTTTGAGAATAGTTTTTTGATTTCTAGTATTAGCGAATTTAAAGTAGTGGAAAAATTCTCAAAAAAAAAAAACAGAAATAGTAGCTTTTAGTGGCTGAAATCTAAAAAAAGTTCCCAAATAGTAGCATAACGTGAAAAAAGTAGTAAATAGTAAATTTTAGTAGATGAGTGCGAAGTATGAAAATAGAGAACTACCAAAACTAAATGTGAATAAAACGAAGTAAAAATAAATTAACATACTTATAAAACAAAAAGGAAAACTACAACTTCTATTTCACAAAATCCTTTGGAAATTAGTTAGACTTACTATATGTAATGAAAACATATTTTGAATCTATTTCCAACAAATCAAAAAATTCTTAACTTATAAAAACTATAAACAAGAAATTGTTTATAAGGTTTTTAAAAATGTTTACAATAATTAAAATTACTCCCAAAAAATAACTTTTTGCAAATAAATAACTATATATTTTGGTATTTTAATTTAACATAAGCTTGAATATTAATAATAAATAAACAAAAATTTTAATGAAAGGAAAAGAAGACAATTTCTAAGAATAAAAGAAACGGTCATTTTTTTAAAAAAAAAGTTGATAGGAACACAAACTCACCATCGTCATTAATATAAGAATTATTCGACGGATTGGAATTAGATTGATCTGAGCAGGTGGAAGTTTGTGATTCTGAGCTAGTCTCAGAATCACTTTCACATTCGCTTGCTTCAGTATCCATCTCATCCTCCTCCTCTAATCCATGCAGCATTATCACAAGAATTTTTTTTTATTTTAATTATAAGAAAGTGTATTAAAATTTTTCACTCTTCAAAAATTATCACTACTTTAGAAGAAAAACTGATTGACACAGAGAAAAATTTTATTTCTAATTTGTTTACAAAACTCTCAGTGCACTTCTAAAATAAACTCTAATAAAATTAAAAATTTTCTTACCGACTTCACTATTAGTTCCCGTACTAGATTCCTCCTTATCAGACTGAATTTCTAATTCAACTTTCTTAACTTTGTTCGGTGTTTCTTCTTCATAAATTTCTACACCTTCCTGATCACTCACTGTATTTTCTTTATTTGTAGATACACTGTAAAAATTAACAATTCAATTAATATCAACTGTTGAAATTTAAATAAATGTTTGCAATCTTAAAAATAATGTCAAATTTCGAGTTTTTTAAAAAAACTTTAAATACTTTTAGAAAATATTTTTGCATGTTATGGGATAACAAAAATGCATAATGATTTCTAATAGGGGCACATCCCTAGAATCTTTAACTTTTCAATAAGAAAAAAATGTTTACTTTTTTTTTTACAGTATTGAAACTTTGTTTACATAAACTTTAAGAACCAAACTTTCAAATTCTGTTCACTTTCAAAGATAATATTCTGAGAAGAATTTAATTATTTTGCAAAAATTTTAATAAAATTCAATAATTAAATGTTTTATTTCAATTATTTAAGAAAATCGATTATTTTAAAAACTTGAAACAAATTCTTCATAAAATTCAATTACTTTCAAAATTTTTAATTAAAAACAAATGTTTAATTAATAAAGAAAATCCATTTAAAAAAAAAATTGTAAGAAATTTTTCAAAAGAATTTAATTAGGATTTTCAAAAAAATTTAATAAAATTCTTCGCAAGATTTCAATTATTTTCATGAACAGTAAAATTCTTCGAAGGAATTCAATTATTCTCAAATTTTTTGATAAAATTCTTTGCAAGATTTCAATGATTTTCAATACATTAATTTTAAAATTGAAAATATTTGAAAAGTTAGGAAACAAAACAGCAACAACAACTAAATTCAAACTGCGAACAGATTATTAACTAATTTACTAATTAATTATTCTTGTTTATTGATTTCAGAAATTTTAATAAAATTCTTCGCATGAATTCAATTATTTTCATAAATAATAACATTCTTCGTAAGAATTCAAATTACTTTTTATAAATAGTAAATTTTTTTGCAAAAATTCAATTATTTTTAAATAAAATTTTAATAACATTTCACAAACGAATACAATTATTTTCTAAAATTTTAATAAAATCCTTCGCAACAATTCAATTATTTTTTTAAATGGTAAACATCTTTGCAAAAATTCAATTATTTTCAAAAAAAAGTTCACGAAAGCATTCAATTTTTTATCTTAATTCGATATAAAATATTTCAAAAGAATTCAATTATTTTCTAAAAAATTTTACGAAAGAATTCAATTTTTTTCTTAATTCGATATAAAATATTTCAATTATTTTCTTAATTCATTATAAAAAATTTCAAAAGAATTCAATAATTATTTTCTAAAATTTCAATAAATTCTTCGAAATAATTTAAATTATATTTGTAAATCGTAAAATTCTTTGCAAAAATTCAATTATTTTCAAAAAAATTTCACGAAAGAATTCAATTTTTTTCTTAATTTGTTATAAAATTTTTCAAAAGAATTCAATTATTTTGTAAAAATTTTAATAAAATTCAATAATTAAATGTTTAATTTCAATTATTAACAAACACGATTATTTTAAAAACTTGAAAGAAATCGTTAATAAAATTGAAATATTTTAAAAATTATTAAAAAAACTCCATTATTTAAAAAATAAAGTTAAAAAAAAATTCTTCAAAAAGAATTTAATTAGAATCATAAATAATTTTAACATAATTCTTCACGAGAATTCAATTATTTTCTTAAATAAAAAAAAAATTTTCGAAGGAATTCTATTATCAAATTTTTTAAAAAAATTTTTTCAACAATTACAATTAATTTTAAAATTGAAATTAATATTAGATTATTATATTAATTATATTATTATTGCTTGTGAAAATCTGAATTAGTTTCAACCGATTGAATTATCAAAGAATTAAATTAATTAAACTGAATTGTAAAAATATAAAATTGTAGTTCATAAAGTTTATCATACAATTTTCAAAAACTTTTTTTTCTATTTAAATTCGATCCTCGTAAACTTTCCAATTTTCTTTTCCTTTTTTTTCTTTTTTCTATTCTCTCGTATCTTATCTTTTTTCAGAATTAATTTTGTTGGATCCATTCTTGTGTGTGAAAAATCTTGAAATAAACTTTGAAACTTAATATTTAGTTTTTAATTAATAAAAGTTATTGAAATTATCAAAATGTATGCGAGGGACATGAAATTTAAAGGTTCCAGAGATATGCCCATATATTTAAAAGTACTTATTAACTTTTTCAAAATATTTTTGGTAGACTGCTAATGTGTAAATTTTTTAGTACCTTTTCAATTAAGAAAATTTTTCATATTAAAAATGAATATTTTTAGAAATCATTATGCATTTTGTATTAAATACCAGAATATGCCAAAATATTGAAAATTACATCTGGTGAAATATGTAATAATATCTACTTACCGTTTCTTTGGTATTGCCTGTTGCTTCTTGTTAATGATTTGAGGATGGTCTTTAAATAAAATTTGTTGCTTCTTCTTTAGTTCTTCTAAACCTTTCAGGATGTCACTGTCAGCCACGTCAAATGCCGTCTGACCCTGGATCAATAAAAAAAGAACATTTAAATTAATTACAAAAAAAAACCATTAAATGATGAAATAACACGAACTGAGTAGAACAAAAAAAAAAGATTTTAATGAATTAGAGATTTATTTAGTCAAAAATGAAGAATCAAAAATTTAAATATGAAAAATAATAATATGTATCTAAAAAAAGAAAATGGGTAAAATATAGAAACAATAATTGCGGCATTCTATTTTAAACCGTTTCAACAACAAAAGACGATCGCGAGTAGTTTTAAGTGTAATTTTATTTTATAAAAAAGAGTTTTAAGTAAGTAAGAATTTTAAGTTTTAAGTAAGAGTCTTTTTATTCTATAAGAAGGAATTACTAATAAGTTATAGCCTAATAACATAATACCAACGATTTAATTTTCAAACACTAAAATCTGAATAGTGAATGAAACAGAAAAAATCATCGTGTCTTTTTTTGTTGAAACGGTTTGAAATAAAAAGCCTCACATAAAAAAACATTTAACAATGCTTTAAACTTATAAAATAATAAGGTTAAAATAATGAAACATACAGCATAATTCTTAATATCCATATCACAGAAATTTTCTACAAGGAGTTTACAAGCTTCTAATTGGCCCCAATGTGCTGCTCCATGCAAAGGCGTCCATCCGTCATAATCCTGGGCGTTCACGTCACATCGAGCTTGCAATAAAATGCTGAAAAAATTTTATTATATTAATAAAAATATTAATAAAAAAGCTGGATGCTCGATGATTTAAAAAATGCAGTAAATCATATATAAGATTCTTTAATACAATTTGATTATATTCTGAGGATTTATGTCGCTAAATATGTTTTACAGTCTTTTAAATAATCTTTTAAAATTATTAACAAGTCACGCAGTCATATATAACCCATTTTGCAACAACTCAGTAAAAATCATTATCTTCATAAATAATAAAATTTTTCATAGGATTTAAATTATTTTTTATAAAATTTAAAATAAATTCTTCGAAAAATGCATTTATTTTCAAAAATTTTTTGCAAGAATTCAATTACATTTCACAAATAATGAAATTTTTCCCTAAAATTCAAATATTAAAAAAAGTAATAAAATTCGTTACAAGAATTCAATTATTTTCATAAATAATAAAATTCTTTACAGGATTTGAATTATTTAAAAAAATGTAATAAAAATACGTAGCAAGAATTCAATTATTCTTCTAAATAATAAAACTCTTCACAGGATTTCAATTAGTTTTTAATACAATTTTAAGTAAATTCTTCGAAAAAAGTAATTATTTTCAAAAAGTTTTTTAAAATTCTTTGAAAGAATTCAATTATTAATTATTTTTAATACTTTTTGCAAAACTTCCTTAAGAATGTTTAAATCCATTTGTTTACAACTCTATTTTACGAAATTTCGATTATTCGGAAATTCTTCAATTAAATATTAGAAAATAAAAACTTTAAATAATTTTAAACAAATTCTATTAAACTTTATAAAAAAATTAATTCTACAAAATTGTCAGTTAAAAGTATGAAAAATTCAAATTTTCAAAGATTTTAATTTGAAACCTTTTCAAAATACAATTATTTTTAAAAATTCATGATAAAAAACTTTTAATATTCAATTGTCATTTAAAATTTCATCTGAAATTCTATTTTAAATCAATTTTTATTATAAAATTCTACGAGAATTCAATTATTAAAATACAAATAAATAATAATAAATAATAAGAAATTGAATAAATGAATGTTTTTCAGAAATTAAATTCTCATACAGAATTTTATTAACAAATTTTTAAATAATTGAATTTTTTCGACGAATTTTAATAAAATTTTCAAGAATAAAATAATAAAAATTGAATCTCTGCAAAAAAATTTATTTAAGAAGTGTTTGACATACGAACGTCAAATCACGGGAAATGACTATCCTTTCGGGTTAAAAAGATTTCATTTAAAAATCAAATGAAATCAGTTACTATTCAAACGTTTTTCTTTTTTCCAATAAACTTCTAATATTTTTATATTTAAAAGATTCCTTTTACAATAAAACTATTTCTGCTAACGATTAAAGGGGTAGGTGGTCACTTTTTCTAAAAAATATTTTCTAATCCTTTTTGTCTAAAAAAAGCAATTTCTAATAAAATCTGCTTTCTAAAAAACGTTTTTCTAACAAGTTTTGATTTCTAAAAAAAAGTTTTTCTAAAAAGTAATGATTTCTAATATTCATAAACTTTGTAAAATTCCATAATTTTGATACAAGTTAGAAAATTGTTAAAAAATTAAGATTAAGAAATAGAAACTATTTTTTTGCATATTTTCTGTTTCTCAATTACAATTTTATTTACAAAATTATAAGTTTCTTTTTTAAAAGTAGACAATTTTTTATAAAATTACTATTTCTTATCACAATTTGTTAACAAAATTCTGTTCATTTAAAAAAAAAAATAATTTGCATCATTTTTTTATACCAAAATTTCCAAAATTAATTTATTTATAAAACATTTTTTGAAAAAATTTTAAATACCTTTAGGAAAAATAATTCTTATCATTTCTATTTGTTAATTACGATTTTAAAATTTTGTTAAAATTGCATAATTTCTATTTTTTATTGAGTATAATTTTTTAACAAAATTTCAAGTATTGTTAAAAAAGATTTTTTTGAACATTACTTCTATTAGAAAAAGAAATTTTTAGAAAATGACCTTTATTAGAAGAAAGAAAATTAGAAAATCCTCTTCATTAGAAAAAAGTTTCTTAGAAATTCATTAGAAAAAAAATGTTTGGAAAATAAAAAATTAGAAAATACGTTTTAGAAAAACTGTACCCCAATCGATTAAAGGACATGATTCAAAAGGAAATTAGTTTTATTTTTAATAGATCATTTCTGTGAGTGTTACTGGAATTTTTGTGTACAATTCACATGTCAGTAATACAATAAGAACGTGTCTAACAAACTTTATTAGCTTAGAGGCTGTCTTCACAATCATTTAAATCAGCATTTAATTAATCCAACCCTGCACTCCTAAATTAAAAAACGCATGTGCCAAGTTTCAGCCAAATCGGTCACTGACACTTGAGTAGCTTTACTTGTTGGTAAGGTTTATTTCTCTAATATTTAAATTAGTCTTATTTTTCCGGTTATTGTGTGTTAAATGTGTTATGTAGAACCGGTATGATTGTACGTTCAAGAACTCGTTTGGGTACCGGAAGTTTTACTTTGTGTGAGGTTTTTCAGAAAACGTGATCGTCAGTTTGCATTAAAAAATGAATACTAACTTCATGACGTTTATGTAGCCCTTGGCAGCAGCCACGTGCAATGCAGTTGCTCCTGTTCTAGGATGTACTGTATCTTTACCAAAAGCTCCGGATCTCCAAGCTTTTGCATCATTTAGCATCGATCTCTCTTCTTCACTTCTAGCTTGATCGCAGTCTATACCTGCAATTTATTTTATTAATTTCTGCTCAGGTAGAAGATTATTTAACTCATTAAAGATTTTAACAATGTTATAATAATAACACTCTGTTTTTATTTATTTTTTTCAAATAAGTTACTTTAATTTTGGGTGTTAAAAGATTTTAATTTTAACAAAAAGTATTTAAGGTAAATGGATATCATTCAGCACAATGTCCCTACTTTGGTTTTGGCGCCAAGCTGTATTTGCAGAAAATTACCGCCAATACATAATATCAAATGGCGTTTCAACTGTTTAATGATTCTTATAGATGACACTTGAAACTATTTCATTTTCGACCATTTGAACCTTTCCAAGTTTTTGAGAATAATATATGACGCGGCACGAAGAAAAAGACATAAGAAGCCAAAACTTTTTGATTATGTTTGTTATTCTTTAAGTAGAAATACATAACGAGAGTTAATTCCTAATTCAATGTAATGATGTTCAAGCCTTTATTGTATTAAAAAAACCAATAAAAATGGTTTTTTATTTCAAGAAAGTAAAAAAGCATCTTTTATTCAAAGTTAAGTGATCATAAAAAGAACCTAAAAGTATTTGCTTTCCGTTCAGAAGATTAACTTTTCCACGGAATTGCTGTTATGCAACAACTAAATAACAAATCTTTTAAAGATTTTTTAAATGATATTATACACTTACAAGTACTTTTTAAAGAGAAATTCAAAGACTTTTACCTGCTTTATTAATATGCTGTTGGAGCATATCTTCCATTTCATCGCTTTCTGCGATATCGAGAGCCAATTCGCCATCATTATTTACTGCAGCGAGATTACATCCTTGTTCAATTAAGTATCTGAAAAGAATTTAAGTACATTAAAGTATCAATCCACTTTAATTCACCCCTTACACAGATTTTCTTTCAATTATAGTTTATGAAAAAAAAATATATTTTTCGTAACACAGTGATAAAAATGTCGTGATTTCTCACTTTGTATAGGTCTGACTTCTAAACGACAGAATCAAACTCAAATATCCGAACAATGCCGATATTCTTGTCCGACGATCAAGATTATAAAATAATCAAGATCTATCGCATTCGTCTAATTGTGCAATTTTTAGAACGAGTTTTAGTTGTATTTGGTAAAGAACACTTGTTTCGAAATGTACAATAGTACATTTTGAAACAAGTGTTTTCTTTATTTTATTTTACTAATTTTTAATTTTTTATTAATTCTTTTATTTTCTATTTTACTTACTTAGCAATTGAAATAAATCCGCAGGAGGCAGTGGCATGTAAAGGTGTCCAGCCCTCATTATCTCCACGATTTATATCTGCGCCTTGTTCAACTAAAAACTCCACCATATCTAAATCATCATCGATGCATGCCTGCAAAAAAAAAAAATAATCATTCAATTTCAATTCTAAATTATTCGAAAACATAAATAACTTTATTTTTAAATAACTATTTAAAAAATATAATTTCTTCGTAGGAAGAATTAAAATTATAGGGGAGAGTGGGGCAAGACAGGGTACTTAAGGTTTAAAACGCAAAAAAACGAAAATTATCGAATATATACTTTATTATTATTTTTAATTATCATCTTTGGGAATCAGTCTTTCGTAAAAAAGCCGTACAAAGGCCATCTGTTTCTTAAAAAAGCTTATAATTAATAATATTGAAAAAATTGCAAATCTCCCCATCTTGCCCCACTGGCGGGTAAGATGGGGTACCCGTAGGGGTAAGATGGGGTACTCAAGAAAGCAACCTATTTATGTCGACAAATTTCACAAGTAAAGGTTGCATCTTCATCTTCATGCATAACTGCAGTGAGCCCATTGGCCGCAGACAAAAAAAGCAGCCCAGCCTTCATTTGAGTCTAAATAATAACCATTACAATTTATAGAGACAAGGTGTATTTTCCACTTTACCATCGCTAATTGATGATTTAACCTGACAAGCTTTTTTCTTTTTGGTCACTCTTATTTTATTCAGTCTTGATTTTAGTAGTTTTCTTAACTTCTCTTATTTCTCTTTTTTTTGCTTAATTTGTGAACCCCGTCTTGCCCCACTCTCTCCTACCCCATCTTGCCCGCACCTACGAAATTGAATAAAACGATTAATTACTACAATTTACGATTCAACAAAGAAAAAAAACATATGCTTCCCTTCTTCTGTAACCCTTGAAAGTTAGAAAAAAATTTATACAGTTCATTAACTGTTATTATTAAGTAATAAACACCTCCTAAAAAATGTGAAAAAATGACAAGGAAATCGTCAAAAACAGTTTTTTTAGTAAAACAGATAAAAGATTTGTTCTCATGGCTTTTAGGTTTTGTAAACAAGAAACTATCGTCTCGGTGCAGTATTATGTAAAATATAATCGCGATTGGTTAATTCGTTTGTTAAATAAGGCCGGTACCCCGTCTTGCCCCACTCTCCCCTACTTCAAATTAATTATCTTTGAAAAAGTATTTTGAGATTTTTCAAATCCATTTGTTTACAATTCAATTTTACAAAATTTCGATCATTCGGAAATTCTTCAATTGAATATATAGGGGAACATAGTCTAGGTCGGCCACCTTTTTGACTTTTGTTTATAACTTTTTTTTAAAAATGAATTTGGACAATTGAAGTATATGGTTGGAAAGTCCTGTTTAATAGGAACATTTTTTCTGTACAAAGTAAATTGACAGGTTTAAAAATGAAAAAGTTATAAAGATTTAAAAAAAAAAAAATTTGTAGTCCAGGTTGGCCATTACAGTCAAGGTCGGCCATGTTTAAAATTCAAAGGGCATTAATCGTTAAAAAATAAAATAACATGTTTGGAGTTACGGAAAATTGATTCTTTATTGTTTACAGTTTGTAACTTAATGAAATAACAAAATAATAACAATAAACAATATACAAAAATAAATATAAATAAAAAAAAGTTTTGCACTAAAATATTAATAAAATTAAATAAAAATATTAATAAGATGATCAATTATATTATGAGTTATACAGAATTGCAGTTTTTGCAAATGAAGTAGCTCGTCCTCAACTTTGCGCATTTTAAACACATAGTGGCCGACCTTGACAGTAAGTAACATTACCGAATTGTTGTAACCATAAAGAAATACGTTTCGGGATTCGATTTTTTACTTTGTTTTCCTTTCAACCATGAGTCCCACAAATTTTCTGCATACTTGCCTTGACGATTCAATTTGTTTTTTATCTTTTATTAATGGTTTTTCACATTATGCACAAAACTTTTTTTGAGCTTTTTTTGTACCGACGTCACAGAAAACACAATTTTCGATTTTCCGAAAATGTAATTGAACAAAAAGTTAGGTTTCACTAAGACAAGCTTCGACAAAAATGCGCGTAGGTGGCGCTAGTGAACTTGACAAAAAAACGCGAGTGGCCTACCTAGACAGTAGGCCAACCTTGACTACATTCCCCTATATATTAGAAAAAAAATTTCAAATCATTTTAAGAAAAATTCAAAAACTTTTTCAAAAACATTAATAATTTTACAGAATTGTTAGTAAAAATTTTAAAAGATTCAAATTTTCAAAAATTTTAATCTGAAACATTTTTAAAATTCAATTATTATCTAAAATTTTCACTGAAATTCATTTTTAAATTAATTTTCATTAGAAAATTCTTCGAGAATTCAATTATTCAAATAGATAGAAAAATAAATAATTATTAAATAATTGAATATTTCTTAAAATTGAATTCTCATAAAAAATGTTATCAACAAATTTTTAAATATAATTGAATTCTTTCGACGAATTTTAATAAAATGTTTAAGAATAATTACATTTTTCGTAGAATTCGATTGAAATTGTATTAAAAATAATAGATAAGTAGTTGCTATAAGAATTTTATTAAAATTTTCAAAAATAATTGAATTCCTGAGAAGAATTTTACCTATTATTTATGAAAATAATTGAATTCTTTCGAAGAATTTTATTGCAATTTTCTAAAATAATTTATTTCATTCATGAAATTTTATGAAAATATAGAAAAAAAATTGTATTCTTTTGAAAAATTTTAAAAAAATTGAATTGTTTCGAAGGATTTATTAAAATTTTAGAAAATAATTGAATTCTTTCGTGAAATTTTATTATAATTTTGTTGGAAATAATTGAATTTTAACAAAAAACTTTAGTATTTATAAAACGAATTGGATTCTTCCAAAGAAAGTTATTATTTATGATTAAAATAATTGAATTGTTCATAAGAATTTTATAAACAAAGTTTTAAATAATTAATTTTTTCGAAATATATAATAAATATTATGAAAATTTTATTTTAAATAATTGAATTGTTGTTGAAAACTATTTTCGTGAAAATAATTGAATTTTTCAATTAATTAATTGAAAATAGTAGGGGAGTATCGTCGAGGTTGGACCACTGTCTAGGTAGGCCACTCGCATTTTTTTGTCAAGTTCACTAGCGCCACCTACGCGCATACTTGTCGAAGCTTGTCTTAGTGAAACCTAACTTTTTGTTTAATTACATTTTCGGAGAATCGAAAATTGTGTTTTCTGTGACGTCGGTACAAAAAAAGCTCAAAAAAGTTTTGTGCATCATGTGAAAAATCATTAATAAAAGATAAAAAAAAATTGAATCGTCAAGGCAAGCATGCAGAAATTTTGTGGGACTCATGGTTGAAAGAAAATCAAAGTGAAAAATCGAATCCCGAAACGTATTTCCTTATGGTTACAACAATTCGGTAATGTTACTTACTGTCAAGGTCGGCCACTATGTGTTTAAAATGCGCAAAGATGAGGACGAGCGACTTCATTTGCAAAAACTGCAATATTCTATATAACTCATAATATAATTGATCATCTTATTAATATTTTTATTTAATTTTATTAATATTGCAGTGCAAAATTTTTTTTTATTTATATTTATTTTTTATATTGTTTATTGTTATTATTTTGTTATTTCATTAAGTTACAAGCTGTAAACAATAAAGAATCAATTTTCCGTAACTCCAAACATGTTATTTCATTTTTTAACGATTAATGACCTTTGAATTTTAAACATGGCCGACCTTGACTGTAAGGACCAACCTGGACTACAAATTTTTTTTTTTAAATCTTTATAACTTTTTCATTTTAAAACCAATCAATTTACTTTATACAGAAAAGATGTTCCTATTAAACAGGACTTTCCAACCATATACTTCAATTGTCCAAATTCATTTTTTAAAAAAAGTTATAAACAAAAGTCAAAAAGTGGGCCGACCTCGACTATGTTCCCCTATTAAAAATAATTGAAATTCTTCGATTTTTTAAATAATTGAATTCCTTTGGAAAATTCTTGAAAATAATTGAAATTTTGTCAGGAATTTTTATAAATTTTTGTGAATAATTAAATTTCGAAGAAGAGTTTTATTATTTATAAAGATAATTTATGAAGAGAATTTTTTTTAATTTTGAACATAATCTAAAATTTCAATTGGAATTAATTTTTAAATAAATTTTTATTACATAATTCTATGGGAATTCAATTATTTAAGTAGATACAAAAATAAATAATTATTGAATAATTGAATTCTCATTAAGAATTTTATCAACAAATTTTTAAATAATTGAATTCTTCCGACGAATTTGAATAAAATATTTAAGAATAATTACTATTTTCGAGGAATTCGATTGAAATTATATAAAAAATAACTGAAATTCTACAATGAGTTTTATTATTTATGAAAATAATTGAATTATTGCTAAGAAATTTATAAAAAAAAGTTGTAAATAAATGAATTTCTATAAAATTTTTATTAAGTATTTATGAAAAAAATTAAATGTTTGTGTAGAATTTTATCAAAAAATTTTTTAAATTGTAATTGAATTCTTTTGGAAAATTCTTGAAAATAATTGAAATTTTGTTAAGAATTTTATTAAAATTTTTGGAAATAATTGAATTTTGAAAAAGAGTTTTACTACTTTTAAAGATATGTAATTGAAATTTTGAAGAGAATGTTTTTAAATTTTGAACATAATCTAAAATTTCAACTGGAATTAATTTTTAAATCAATTTTTATTAGATAATTCTATGAGAATTCAATTATTTAAATTGATACAAAAATAAATAATTATTGAATAATTGAATATTTTTTAAAATTGAATTCTCATTAAGAATTTTATCAATAAATTTTTAAATAATTGAATTCTTCCGACGAATTTTAATAAAAAATTTAAGAATAATTACATTTTTCGTAGAATTCGATTGAAATTGTATTAAAAATAATTAAAAGTGTCCGCAAAATTTTATTTAAATAATTGAAATGCTGCCAAGAATTTTATTAAAATTCTTAAAAATAATTGAATTTCGGAGAGGAATTTTATTATTTTTTAAAATAATTGAATTCCGGAGAAGAATTTTA